GTGGTGTGCTAGTGGAAGCAGCAGGCTTCAGACTGCTTTATCTCTTATCAGTGGATTGGGCTTTGTGAATGAGAAATTCAGAGGCAACTGTATAATTTTAAATTCAGATCGCCACAAAGAAAGAGATGCATCTGACATCCCAATGCAGTAGTTTTGACTATTTTACTGGAAATATGTTGGAAGTGGGGGAAACTTCCCCTGAGGAGAAAGTGATGAAAGACCAAAAGAGAGACATTTTAATCTTCGAGATAAAAGGCCTGTTTTCTAAGGTTGTTTCCTTTATTATAACTTCACACCGCCCCCCAACCTGCTACTGGGGCACCATGCAAATGTATCATTCCAGGAACTGTTTCGTTATCCTCTTTATGCCAAAGATTTCCTGGTGCTGCGGAAAGAGAGCAAATGGTCTCGTTTACAGCTTACTTAAACGAGGTTCTCACCTTTCACAGAGCCTTAAAATATAAGGATTAGGTGCTTACATGAATCTGTTCACCTCTTTGGTCCAAACATCATGCTACCTTTTGCCTAAAATAAACAAAAGCAAGATATTCTCACGTAGCTACTTCTGTGGAGGGCACTGTTGCCAATTTAAATCCTCTTTTGGTTGAATCCAGATAAAATGCAAAGGGGCTCTTTCTGTGACATTGATGAGGGTCTGATAAATGGTGGTTGTTTTCATTAAAAAAAAAATCTTTCCTTTCTGACATGAACATTCATGCTTACAATGACTCATTCATTATTGATGCTATTTTAACAATATTGAATATAAGTGTGGATTTAGCAATAGGACATTGACTGAAGGGAGAAATCTCTGCTAGGAACTTGCCTTACTACACAGAGGTAGAGATGTCAGAATTCAAAATAGGTCTTTTTTGCACTCCTGCCACACCAAAGAACACAGACCTAACTCCTTGGAAACCAAATCAAACTGGTATTGATCTGGTTTCCGCCCCCACAAAGACCTTCATGAAAGACTTTTACTATATTATTTCCTTCCGCATATTTTAAGATGCTGCTCCCAATATTTCTTATTCTTTCAACATTATTTATTGGTCCCACCAACCATTGAGGCCTGGTGGGGACATAGAAATGGCAAGCACACTGGAGGTATAAATAACTGAGGTGATGGATGTCAACAAGATATGTTAGGTCAAACGTATTGTCTGGAGGACCACGGAATGTGTGTCTTTCTGGAATAGGTGATGGTAAGCTGGAACCTATGAAACTGAAGAAGAGTCTCTTCAGAAGAAAGATTCTAAGTTTGAATCATAAGACCTCTGCTTCTCTTCTTGTCCTACAGGACACTGACCAGAGAAAGCACCTGTCTCTTAAGCGCCCTAAGACAATTCTTGGAGGAGAATCACAGCTTTCTTTATACACTGAGGCTTCCTCTGAGTCCATCCACCCTTTGCTCAAGAATCATCTGACCCTGAATTTCTCAGGCAGGTGGATCACTTTTATACATAGGATTGGGCTAACCTTTTTTCTGTAGGCAAGTATTTATATTCCCAAGCACCCATCGAAATGTAGGGTTACTCCATGCTTCCATGGAATTCGCTCTCTTTCCAGGTGTGTCCAACATATACCACAAGTGACCTCCACGTCAGGGGTCGGCAAACTTTTTCTGTAAAGGTCCAAAATGTATTTTATGCCTTGCAGGCCATGAAGTCTCTGACACAGTTACTCGACCCTGCTGTTACAGAATAAAGCAGCCACAGACATCAAGGAAATGAATGGATGTGTCTGTGTTACAAGAAAACTTTATTTACAAAGACTTGGTGATGAGCCAGGTTTGGTCCAGGGACCACGATTTGCTGACCCCTGCTCTAGAGTTAAACTTTAACAATCTTTGGTCTATGGTTGATGGATATACAGTGAGAAAACCATCCAAAGGAAACGGACCTAAAGGACGTTAAAGCCAATTCAAGTTTATACGATCTATCCCTTGGGAAAAAGAACAATTAAAAAGCCTCATACCAAGTTCCCACCTACAGAGATGCCACCATAAGGGCTTTTGACAACCTTCATCATATGCTACTAGGTTGGGACTGAACTTTTCTGATGTATTGAACAGCTAATAAATAGCACTGAATGCTAAACATTGGGAGAGCACTTTAATTTTTTAAAATCTTCTGAAGAATATTAGCATACTAGGACTTCTAGAATATTGAAAATTCATTTGAACTCTTTGTTAAACCCCTTCTGCCTAATATCCTCAAAGGTGTGATTGTCTAGAAGATATTATATATAAAGATTAAAAAGAATCCCAATTTCTAAAATTAAAGTTTATCAGATTTTAATGTAAAAGATATTTCTTTCCAGAATTAAAACTTTTTCTCATGACCATTGACAAATTTTCTAGTTGGAGGAAGTTAAGAGAAAAAAATACACATTTAAGAACTTAAAATGCATTTTACTGAATTCTACAGTCTGAACTGAAACACATAATTTAACCTTTGCCAGGTTTCCTTATTACCTGGTATATTGTGGTCACTTAGCACAAATGAAAATCAGAATTTTTAAATCATGTCTGTCCCCCACAGGTGCTTGACTGCTATTCTTGGTTTGCTATTATTATTTTTATCCTGTTTGTGATCTGATTATCTTTAGGATTAAATTCCATAAGTGGGATCACATGACTCTATTTTTATTGGCACAAAATTACCAAAGGGCTGATCTTAGACTTTCATGTCAGAACAAAATCAGAGGAAAGAGGTTCAGGGAACCTTCTGTTTTCTTGTCATTCATAGATCGTGTACTTGAGACGGTAAAATGCAAAGATGGTCTGTCTGCTTAAAAGCACTTTGTCTTAAGGTAATTAGTCACAGAGGGCCTCATAGCTACTACTGTTTATCTGAATGACATGGGAGAGATGCTCCTTGTGGCCAAGGCGGGGTGGGGGGGTGGTTCTCTTATTTGGCAAAACCCTGTATAAAGTTCATGCAGATTCTGGCAGTATGATCCTACAGGAAATAATACCGATCCAGAGCAACTTAATGTTTTTAGGGTTTTCCTTTTTAGACTCTAGTGCCGCAAACTAAGTAGTCTTGCTCTTGAACAACTCAGTTCTTCTACATGGGATATCAAGGTGGAGTGACTGGAGGGGGTATGGGGTCTGGAAGCCAGTAGGGCCTCTGGTCAAGCTAGGAAACCATCCCCTCCCCACCCTCCCTCCTGCCCCACTCCTAAAGCAACTCACAGCTTGCTTTCACATCCTGTGTATACAAACCTTAGCCTGATGCTTGAGTGTCATCCCAAAAATATCAAACCTTTTATTCATTTCCTGTGACAAAGCTTCCCCTGCTTGTGAAGTAAGAAAAAGTAAACCCTTGTTGAAGGAAAAAACAAATGCCATCGAGGCCTACTACTATGACCTCATTTAGGATTGTGGGGCCGCTGCTTACCAAGTGGCATCTGGGATCGTCTAAACCAGTTACGACTCCATTTGGGCTCCTGAGAGCCCACGTCTCTCAGCCACTTGGTTTGTCTACCAGCTTCTTAGATGCCCACTCATGACTAAACCATTCCCCCTCCAATCACCCAAAATAAACTACAGGTAACAACAAGATAAATAGGATGTGCTTCTCCTTGCTGAGTGCATTGACTTAAGGCATAGGCACATTTCTCCCTCTTTGAACAGAGATGGAGTAATCCCCTGTCCCAGCACAAGAGCTGGCCAGGGTGACCCTGGAGCATGATGATGAAGGTGGAGGGATGAGAGGTAGATGATGGCGGGAACAAGGGAGCTGCTTTCATGTACTGGGGAGTGGTTTTGCTGGGCTGCAGGGAGACAGTCTGAGAGAGACACTTGACTCAGTTTGCATTAATTTCCAGTGACCATTTCTAGGGGCAGTCATTTTAGATCCATGATTGCTGGGTCAGTATTCTTGGAGAAAACATAATGGTGGATTTAGGAATAAAAATATCCCCACAAAAATACATATATAAGAATATTGAAGCTAGAGTTTGTGCATGTCTTTAGAAATAAAAGCCAAGTGTCCCAATTACCTACCAATCTCAAGAAACATATAAAAATTAATTAGGTTTTCTATGCTTCTCTCAATTAGATTTCCATCCCCAAATGGCTTCTCTTAGGGTGGAGGTTCCTCTCTTACGGATTTTGAGGCTGGAGTCTACTGGATAAAGTCAGGAGTGAGGCTGAAACAGATTTTGAGCCATTTTTTCCCTTTAAACAGAGACCTATCACCCATTTATTCTTTTCCTGTCAGGCCACTGAGTAGCTTCCAGCCGACTGAGGAGCAGCTGTTATCCTATTTTGTGCTGATTTACAACTCCTATTTTGACTGTGGGATAAGATGTGATTTTGAAGGAAAATAGCAGGAGTTGGGTGGGCAGTTCAAACTTGACTAAAATTCATCCTCCACATTCATTCAACTACAAAGGCCCCAGTACATTTGGCTGTGAAGGGAGAACAGCCATTTTGAGTTCCCGCAGCCAACTTCTATGGCACTGCCCCATCCCTAACTTGAAGAGGGGGACGTTGGCCAGTCCTACTAAAGCTAAAAATGGAAACGAAATGTCTACTGCAATACAAAGGGTCTCAGCGCTTGAGCGTGACTTGGAGATTCCCGCCATCACTGCCTTGTAATGACACTAAAGGCGAAGATACGCGTCTGCTCCAACATGTAGGTGATTATTCAGTAAGAGTCCGATACACTGTGTGATTTTGAAGGGTCTGGGGGATATTGGGCCTGAATTAGTGTTTTGATTCTATCATGTAGGTGGTAGGGTTGAAATGGAAATGACGGTGGATATCACAGGGTCACCCATGGTTCCTTTTGTACTGAAACCTCATTTTATACAGAGGATATATATATTTATTTATATATATTTATATATATTTATAGCCACCCACACTCATACGCACACGTGCGTGCACGCGCGCGCGCACACACACACACACACACATACACACACTCACACACACAAGGTCTTTGATAGGCTTTCTGTGTTCTAGTAAAAATAACTGGCAGCCAGTGTCTGAAGCCAAAAATGGCCTTTATGCTGCTGACAGGGTCCACTATGGTCGGTCTCTCAAAGGCAGACACTTGTGTTTATCTGACAAGTGGAACCAGTTCCTGCCTGGGACAGGAATAATCTCCCATTGGCGCAGACGCAGATCTCGAAGACCTTCTGCCTCGTTCCTGTAGGCGTGTAGGATCCGTGAGGCAGTCTAGGTAGTTTGATTTTCGCAGCATCTAACTTAATCTAAAGAGAGTGAATAGGAAGGAAAGAGGAGTTAGAAGCTGCCCTTTATTCTCCTGACATTCAGAAACAGTAGATGAAGTTCAACTACTGTGTTGAGTATTCTAGGCACTGGGAATTCAGAGATGAACATGGCAGACAAGTCTCTATCCTCACGGAAGCTTTTATTCTACCAAGACAACATCGCACTGGTCTCTATTAGCATTTTGGAAAGGTATATCACGTAGACTATGAAGGGAGTCCTAGAGTGAAATGAATTTGGAAATGCAAGGTTAATTTCTTTACTATGGACGGGCCTTCAGACCCCAGCTCAGTCGGTGTGCATGGGAAGATTGCAAGAATATGCAATGCTTTCTGGTCTTAAATGACTGTTAAGATTATAATCAATTCCTTCAGAGTCTGGATTCTGAGAGCTATAATCTGCATATGTGAGGCAGTCACTATTTCTAAACGTGTATGATTTGGGTCTTGAAGGGACCATTTTGATAACTGAACGCTTTGTCTGACTAGCTCTTTCAAAACAAATATAGCAAATGCCAAACCAATCAAGAGGTGGATTAGGTGTACGGAAGCAGGTGGAGATGGAAACCCTCTAACTAGATATGAAAAGTGGAATACAGTTTTGATCTTAAAAAAATACACATTTTTCCTCTACTTAAAAAACTATTAAATAGAAAGGTTCACCTATGAACATGATGGTGACATTTTTAAAGGTTTACAGTTCAATCCTGTTTTCTTGGGGATGTGGCTTACCTTGTCTACACAAACCCAAGTAGCTATTCTGTTCACCAAAATGGGATTAGGTCGAGTAGAAGAATTAATATGTTCAGCCCTCCATAGTCTTGCTGCCTAGTCTAACCCTATTTAAGGTTTGCCTTGTTCTGCTCTGGGATAGCTGTTGGATCTCACCCTCCATTCTCAAGGTGGAAACATACAACATAAACTCTGAAACTAACTTCGAGTAAATTAAGTTCAGCTTGAGCTAGATGTACATGATCTAGAGCTTCATCATGCCAGCTACCTAAATCTTACTTTCGGGTGACGAGAGAGAGGATTTAGAAATAGCATTCATTTTTATAGCTGTGTGTATTATTCTGCACTTGTACTACATGCTATTACCTCAGCACTTTACAAATAATGAGCCGTAACTCTTCTAGTGTTGTGGGTTAGGCTTATAACTGTGCTGTTCGACATAAAACCTGATTGGCTCCTCTTGTTTGCAAGGGGGGTCAACTTCAGTGCCACGGGAGTGTGGGAAATGTTGGCTTGTTTGGAGCTGGATCTCTCTGAATTTGTGTCCTTCTCACTCCTACCTCTCCATCTTTGGACTCCAGCCTCAGCTCTGTTCTGCAGGTGGCTTCCATGTTGCCGGCTTCTGCATTTATTTCAACTCCTTTTGGGGCCTCCATTACCAGAGATCGGGTCGGGGACTCCAGCCTGAAATATGCACGAGACTAAGATTAAAAACCCCATTTTGCTTTTTTAAAATTAAAAAAAAATTTTTTTCGTAAATTTGAGAGGAAGTTGCTCCTCAGAGCATTGAAACAAAGCAGCATTTCAAACAGTATTCATTCAAGAAATTGTTCTAGCTTTGCTTTACAAACCTGGTCAGGGTTATGAGGGAGGATGTAACCTGCCTGGGCATTGTCTTCATTGCATATAATGAAGATTATAAAGAAGGCCTTCTATGATCCTGGCTTCATTTTATCTCACACATAGCCAGTTATTGCTTTATTTGGTTAATTTGTAATTAACCAAATTCTTACATAACTTTTATTTATTTTTAGAGTAAGGCAATCTCAGGTCTAAACTGAGCTTTCTAAAATTGGTAGATATTCCTTCTACTTTGTCAAAAGAAGCAGAATCAGAGGTTAAAACAAGAGACCTATAAGTTAGACATGTCTGACTCAAGCCCTAGCATTGCCAGTAGGTGACCTTGGCCAAGACTCGTCTCTCCTCACTTCTTTCTTTTCCAAAATTTCTCAATTTCTCCTTAGTTTTCTCATCTATACAGTGTCTCAAATGGTGCTTGGCACACTGGGAATGCAGTATATGCATTAACTATTACTATTACTGCTGCTGCTACTATTGTTTTTATACCATGGAATCATGAAGAACTCTCAGGCCTTACTCAAACACTTGTCAAGAGTGGGACCCATCCTTGGTTGCTGGGGGAGGGAGAGGGTAAGGGATTTGATCACAAAGGGGCAGTATGGGAAGAAGAGGATTTTAGTGGTAGAACTTTTCTGTATCTTGATTGTAGCAATGGTCATACTATGCTCCGTTTGTGAAAACTCACATAACTGTACCCTCAAAGAGTGGATTTTATTGTATGTAAGCAAAAAAGGAGAGAAGGTGAATCAGCTAGGCTTATGTTAATTATTATGACAAAACAGGCTAATACTCCTTAGAAAGATCTTTGCCTCACTCATTTAATATGAGAAATATTAACCATCCATAGAAGAGTCTAGATATTAATATTACTGCCAAATAGAAATGAATGAAGATCCTCTTCTCTGTTTACAAAGAAAATACCCCATCTTAGGAAGTAAAGACCTCAGCATGGCTCTCAGACTGCTCTGACTCAGACCAATTTCCTGTGTTTTGTTCCTATGCCCCCAACTTTCAGACACCTAGACCATGTTAACAAGGAACAGCATCCTCTCTGCCAACTGCCACCTCCCTGTTCTGCTTCCACCACTCCTTGTAAACCTTCTCAGGTTTCAGTAAGTGGCAGGGAGGAGGAGCTGACCAGTGGGGACAGCACCATGGAGGAATCCCAAGCCCCACCTCACAGGTGCCAAGAGAAGGCCTTCCCACGTTTCTCTGTCTGGGTTCCTGAGGTTTGCTTCTAGGCAGCAGCGTTCTCCATCAGTGTTTGTATTTCCCCTGCAGTGACTCAACCAGAGTCCCAAAGAAAAATGACAGGTCCATAGCACTGGTGAAAGATTGACTTCAGCTTCTGTGGAATTCATTCTTCCCTTTTCAACCTCACCCTCTGTGATGGCAAAAATCTCCCTATTCCTCCTGGCTCCTCAGAAGACCTTCATCAAGTCGGTGCTGAGCCCAGGGATGGTTCCCCCCTAATTAAAATTTGCTTCATTTGAATATGGTTTCCCCCCACCATGCCATCAATACAGGGAGGGAAGTCTTGACGCCAGAGGAATGGGGAGTGACGTCTGTGCAGCACACTCTTGCCTAGGACATTAATCCAACTCCGTTCAGCTCCTCCTGTGCTCTTGATCCTCTCACTTTTGAAATGTGAGGGTGGTTTTGTGTCATTTTCTTTGTTTCTGTCCTGTAGAGTCTGGCTGGCTTAGAGTTTATCCTGCATTTTGTAATATCTTTTCTTTTTACTAATGTTGATACCTTTTACCCTTCAGAAGGGCATAGGGTTCCCCTCTGGTAATATGTTTGCTCCATTCCAACTTTGTTTACCCAATCTCAATGGCACAGCTGTCATCCACCTTCTCCAGGTGACAGTCCCATGCCATCTTCTCTTTCCCCTTCTTTCTTCTTCCCTCCCCCTCTTGTTTGACTAGTTAGCCTACAGCTAGTTGACCAATAGACTACAGCTTCTGCCTACTCAGTATACTGATGCATCTCTAATCTGGACTATTTGTCTGCCTCGCAAGTTTTGTCTCTCATTCTTCCTTTCTTTCCAGTGTACTTCGCAAATAGGCCTATCTCCGGAAGTACATTTTGAATACGTCACTTTTTGTATCAGTAGGTGATGGACACCATGAAAAGTGCTTTACACATTTTACCTCATTTAATCCTCACAAAAATCCTATGACTCTGATACTCTCTTAGTCTTGACTGTGTATACAAGGATGCAAAGGTAAAAGACCTGCTCAGGGTTGTACATCTAGTAAAAGGGCAGAGGTGAGATTCAAACCCAGGTTTAGTGGACAGCAGACCCAGGATGTTGTCCACTGTATCTTGCCACTTAGAGGAAAAATTGGTCTTCTTTCTTGTCTATCATATCTTCACAGCATTTTTAAAGTTTGTTCATTTATTTTGAGAGAGAGAGGGAGAGTGGGACAGGGGCAGAGAGAGAGGAGAGAAAGATTCCCAAGCAGGCTCCATGCTGTCCGTGCAAAGCCTGATATGGGGCTTGAACTCACGAGCCGTGAGATCATGACCTGAGCTGAAGTTGGACACTTCACTGACTGAGCCATCAGGTGCCCCTTCACACCATTCTTTGTGGTTAAAGGCCATCTCTTCATGGACTTAGCACCTGTATTTCCAAAGCCAGGATCTGTAAATGTGATAGTATTGCATCTGGCTCAGTGATTCATACTTCCTAGTCTGCAATATTTCTCACAACTGAAATCACTGACATTAGTGGCATCAAGTTCAGGATATGGCGAATGTGTTCGTATTTGGTATGTGGCATTAAAACTGACTGATCATATGAACAGATAGCTGCAGTGAAAACAGTTTGACATAGAAAAAACGTCTGGAGCTAGGAGAACTTTATCAGACGGTGCGCTGGCATTTCAGATGGACGTTAGAATTTGGTTTACTCTTGTGTTACCGCCTGTGGGCTCTGAGGTCAGCAGGAGGGCTCCATGGCCAGAGAAGGGGACTCAGAATGACTGCTATCTTTTTCCCCCTCTCAGCCTTGAAAGTATCAGGGAGCTGAGAAAGGGTGCTATTCAGAAACTGTCTCTTATTGTGAAAAACTACAATATGGGTAGAAATGACAATTCCCTCAAAGCAGAGACTAAAAGGTAACTGCATTCTGTTTTGGAGCCTATCTTGATGTCTTTTGCTCTTAGGCAGACTAATAGTTTGGTTGGTTCACATGTTAATCTTTCCCTTGTGGCAAAAAGCTCCTACAAGAGCCCTGGGAGCCTGCACAGAGCAGGCAGAGCACTCCTGCCACGTCAGTTTCTGACCCTAGATAACCAGTCACAGCACCGTGGCGAGAAGAGCATTGAGGAAGGAAAAATGGGAAGCAGCTCCCTTATGATGGGGGCATTTGAGCGTCCTGCTGGTTCTTGGAAAGAAACACTCCTTCCATTAGAAGAGAGTGCCACAGTCCTATGGCAGGACTGAATAGACCCAGAACAGAAGAATGGCCAGGCAGGGAGGTCCATGGGCCGCGCCGGGTCCTCGGGACCAAGCATTCTCAACAGCAAGCATCAGAATCCCCTGGAGGGCTTGTTAAAACACAGATTGTTGGGCTCCACCCCCCACCCCTCCCCCAGAAGTTGGATGCCGTAAGTCTAGGGTGGGGCCTAAATAAACACTTGCACTTGTAGGAAGCTGAAGCTGTTGGTTCTGGGACCGCACTTTGAGAACCATTGCTCTAAAGCAAAGGTCATAATCTCAGGTGCCCGCCGAGACTAGGCAGGTGATGTAAATGGGTGACCTGGAAGAAAGCTGTGAGGAAAACAGTCTCTGCGCAGTAATACATGGCAAGTGATGGAAATGCTTTCTATAGGAGGCGGCTCCTAGTCATCTAACTTGGCTGATTACTGATTACTTCTGTGATGCCCTGAGCTGGTTTGTTCTATTACTACCCATTATCTTTTCTTAAGAATAACTACTGTTATGAATTTTGTGTTGACTGTTTTCTTGCTGCTCTTTATAGTATTACAACATGTTTGCATTCTTATACCATTGTTTACTGTAGCATGTTTTTAAACTTGACATATAGAACAATTCCACTTAGGTGTTCTTCAGTGACTCCCCCACCTCAACATTATATCCCTGAAATGCAGCCATGCTACAGCACAGAGCTGGAATTTATTCAGTTTCCCTGGTGTCACCTTAATTTGTCCATCTCTCTGTTGGACATCTGGGTAGCTTGTAGGTTTTTGTTTCTATCAACAGTACTTCTAAGCATATTCTGTATGTGACTCCTGGTACATGTGTAATTTTCTTTAGGACGCATACGTGAAGAGTGGAATTGCTAGCTTCTGGGGTCTGCATAATTACAGCCTTTTTAGATACTAGTAGTACATAGTAGTATAGTGTACACTGTTCTCACGAGTCCTATATGGAGTTCTGGTTATTCTTCTCGCTTCTTAGCATTTGATAATGTTTTAGTATGAAATGAGTGTGAAATGGATGCTATTTCTTTCAAGTTTACATTTCCCAGATTAGTAGTGGAGTTGAGCATCTTTTCATTTGTTTGTAAGCCATTTGGGATTCTCCTTCAGTGAAATGTCTTTTGTCTATTTTAATTGTTTTTGTTATTTTTTGTGTGAATTGTAGCAATACTTCATATTCTGAAAAATAATTATTTCGCAGTTTGATGTATTGACAATTTCTTTTCGAGTCTGTGGTTTTTGTCTTTTCACTCTGTGCTTATCATGTTTTCAAGAATCAAGTCTTGTATTTTAATAGTGACAAACTTATGGTCCTTTCCTCTAGGGCTTGTGCTATGTCTTATTTGAGCAATCCTTCCCTACACAGAGGTCATA